GAGTAGAAAATGAAGGCTAATCATGTTTTGGGTGTACTATTCCTTTAAGGGTCTTGCTCAGGGACTTGCAACCTTCTCAGAGCTCAAGCACGCTGCAGTAACCGCTAGCAAACACCCCCGTTATGCTGCATTTTGTTCTTTTATTGTGTGTTTTTATCATGTTTAACAACTTCAACACTTTGTTTTCGGCTGTTGCTGTTTTAAAGATCTGTACAAATAAAGTTGTTGATGATGAAAACAAATCTGTTTTGACAGAGGAATGTTCTGCCTCCTCCAATGGCTGATACTGTTGGTAGGATTTCATCAGATGATAACTGTGTCTAAGGCTGAGGGTTGTTGGGGTAAATGCAGGCCTGAAGATGATTTTAATAACGGAACAGGTATGTTTCTTCATTAACAAGATCAGCGGCCTGGTTAATTGGTTAATTAGTCATCAGTCACTATGTCCACACCTGCTACTAGCATTGTGTTAGTAAATCTAGTTATTTATTGTGTCTAAATAAAAAGAGTGCATCATTCGTGTTTCAGTTGATAAAGCCAAATGCTGCATGGAGGTTTACAGTAATGAAATAAAGAATTGGGACATTTTCAAGTAAACATTTTCACTCTTTCCAATAATACAATCATTCTGTGTATGTGAGTCAATCTGTGCATCTCTAAGCTGCAAACGTATTTTCTCTTTTACTTCAAATAGCGCAACTAAAATACTTGAAAGTGTTCTGCAGGAAACTAAGGTAGAGGAGGAAACTTCCATTTATGTTGGTCCTTTAGTAGCTCTCCTACAGAAGCCCCCTAACATTTCCAGGAGTATTGAGATTTATGCCAATGACACTCAGGTGAATATATGCAAATATCTTTGTTAAAATGCAGACAGATTGAAAGGTTGGACACATTTGTCTTCTGTCTTTTTCATGGTGTATTTCTGGCCCTGATGTAGGCGATGTCGAATGCAGACGTGTTGAACAGAGCTGTGAGAGTTCAGCTGCCGGCAGAGCTGCATGCTGGAGGGAAAAACACTGTGGTGTTCTGTATGATTCAGCTGTGGAACCAGGTGAGACGCAGCTCATTAATCATATTTGTTGTCACTGATGGAACAGAGACAGAAAGACGGGCTAAATGTTCTTTTTTCCCCTTGAGATAAATGTTGTTTGCACATATAGGCTGTGCCCGAATCCCTCAGTCACTATATAGAGCAGGGAATATACATATACCCCATTTCCACTACCCTTTTGGAACCATGCGAGGATCCGTCCGAGCACAGCTACCGAGATAACTTGAGTGTAAATGGCACTCAAACTGAACCGGACCGTACCAGACACAACCGTACCGCGCTAACATGGTACTAGTTCATCAGTAGGGCTCGGCGCGGTTCAGTTCTGGTTCGGTTCTCGGATAACAAAGAGCGCATGAGCAGACAGCATCATCTCCTTACAGTCAGCCTCCGTAATCAGGACATTTCTGACATTCATGAAAATCCTAGCTCCCCTACCGTGCCGCTAGCCTCGTGAGACCATCCTGATCTCGCCAGCTTTCAAGGTTTCACTTGCAGATCAGTCTGGAGACTCTCCG